GACTACATGTCACTTTTCATATTTTATTTATTTATTTATTTTTATTTTATGTGTGTGAGTGTATTGCCTGTATGTATGTGAGTGCACCCGAGTCATGCAATGTCGTGGAGGTCAGAAGAGGGCTTCAGATTCCCCTGGAACTGGGGTTAAGGATGGTTCATAGCCGCCATGTGGGTGCTGGAACTCAAACCCGGGTCCTCTGCAAGAGCAGTCAGTGCTCTTAACCACTGAGCCATCTCTCCAGCCCCTACATATCACTTTTTAAGTCTAGGTTCCTAAGATTATTTCAAAGAGGAACTGGAGGACCCACTGCTGGGAGTGTATAGTTACCTTTGGCAGGAGGAACCCAGACAGCGTGGTGTCAACTGTCACTTCTCTGGGAACATTCAAGGGGATGATGTTGCCCATTCTCTGCACCTCATGGACGACAGCATTGGTGTAGGGCATGGACTCTCGGTCAGCCAGGTTGGGCTGTCTCCCCTGACCAATCACTCTGTCAATCTCAGCCTGTGCCTTTTCTGAAAGAAAACAGAAGGATGTAGAAGTTTTCACTAAGACCTTTCTTGCTTTTATTTCATCTATCCTTCTGGTTGTAAAGAAATACAAATTTCCAGGGGCTAGAGAGATGAGTCAGTGGTTAAGAGCACTGATTGCTCTTGCAGAGGACCCAGGTCCAAATCCCAGCACCCACATGAAAGCTAACAAGCACTGTAACACCAGTTCTACGGGGTCCATTGCCCTCTTCTGTCCTCCATGGGCACTGTATTAGATGGGTGTACTTATATAAATGTGAACAATATATTCATACACATAAAATAAATATACAAATTGAAGAAAAGAAATACAAGTTTTCTTAACCATTCCAAAGACATATTTAGAAAACTCTCATGCTGTAACTTGAGCCTACATCACCATAACCTTCCATATATTCTGAACTGAGTATCCTAATCATCATGGCTAAGTTCACAGCAGTATCTATTCAGGCTTCTACAAATAAGTGCCTTTCACTGAGTGGGTTATAAACAACAAAAAATTATTTTTCCCAATGTTCAGAGCATGGGAATTTTTAGATCAGGCCACCACCATACTTCCTGTTTAGTAAGGAACAATTTTCCGTCTCATAGATGACAGAGCTTTGCTATGTCCTCATATGATAAGAAGGAAATCTCTCTCTGGTAGCTCTTTTTAAAGGTACTAATTTCCTTCATAAAGGCTAATTTCCTCCTATACAACCCCACTGTCATTAGGATTGAACATGAGTTTAACAGGAAGGACACAATTTTCAGACCACTGCACATCTGTAGACTAATTTCTCAAGGAGATACATCAGGTGGGCAGTGGACAGCACAGCATTGTTCCACACTGTTGCCTTTGAAGATACATTCTTTGAGCTTCCGTTTCTTCCTCATAGGAACAGTGAGAATAAATTTTCCTGATCTTAAAGATGCTTTGGGTTTTACATGAACTGATAGATTTACAAATGATTAATACTGCTGGCTGTTCCCCCAAATGGTTCCTCTTTTTGTAGAACAGGGACTCAGCTGATTTTACCTGACTGTCCAGTTAAAACTTCATTTAAATGTTGGGTGTGGTAGCACATGCCTTTAGTTTCAGCACTCAGGAGGCAGAGGCAGGTGGATCTCTGTGAGTTCAAGGCCAGCTTTGTCTATATAGCAAGTCATAGGTCAGCTGCTGGGGTTACAGGGAGACCCTGTCTGAAAAAGACCAAAAATAGAAGGCATTTAGAACCCCAGGCCCTTTACAGGGACCAGTCTCTCAAATTAGGGATAATAAAATTCACATAACAGAAAATTTATCATAAGAATCATCATTTTTGAGGCAGGGTCTTCCTATGTGGCCAGAGTCTCTCGAACTTTGAATACTCCTGCCTTAGGCTCCCAAATATTGTGACTAATGTTGTGTGTCACCAGGCATAGCTCTTCATACCATTTTAAGTATACAGCTTCATATATTAAATATGTTCATATTATTGTGGAAGTTATTATCAGAACTTTTTCTTCCTGCAAAACAAATTATATGTCCATGATAAAATTCCTGGTTTCCCCTCCCTGCATACTACATACTCTACATACAAGCGGAACTATTTTAGATAACTCACTTAAATTGCATAGTACAGTTTTTGTGGTTGGCTTATTTAATTTAACACTATATCTCAGTGCTTATCCATATTGTAGAATGCATCATAATTCCTTTCCTTTAGGACAGAATTTCCTTCCTATCTTATGCATGTTTCACACATTATCTATTCATGGTCCATGAATACTTTGGTTCTTTACCATCTCTTGACATACTGTGTATATGTAAAATAAATATGGATGTAATTTCAATATCTACTGATATTTTGGAGACTTATTCCCAGAAGTCAAATCTGTATCATACCTTAGTAAGTTTTAAACTTAAAAAAAAATGTAATCTTAGGTTGGCAAGACAATTCTGTGGGTAAAGGCACCTGCTGCCGAGTCTAATGATCTGAATTCAATACCTAAGGTCCAAATGGTGGAAGGAGAGAGCTGAAGCATGGAAATTGTCCTCTGACCTTCATACCTATTCCTTGGCACTCTGAGAGGCACGTGCATACACTAAATTAAAATGTAACCAAAAAAGTTTAAATGCAATCGTCAGGTAGAGATGTATTTTAAGTGGTGACCCACAAGGTATATACATAAAATATAGAGACATATTATGAATGCTTTTTACATTAATAAAGGAATAAAGTTTCCCCGGGGGAGATAGCTCAATTGGTAAAGTGCTTGCTTTGCAAACATGAGGACCTGAGTTTGAGCCCTGGAAAATATGTGTAAAAGTGAGGTGTTTGGGGGGCTGGAGAGATGGCTCAGCCTCTTGCAGAGGACCCAAATTCAGTTCCCAGCACACACATAGTGGCTAACAACCGTCCTTAACTCTAGTTCCATGGTATCTGACACCACTTTCTGGCCTCTGTGGGCATTTCATACATAGATGCATTTACATATAAAAAGGCAAAACACTCATACACATAATATACAAATAAAATAATTTTTAAAAAGTCAGCTCTGGTGACAAGTGCTTGTAATCACAGTAGGATGATTAAACAGAGACAGGTGGACTTCTCAGGCTCACTGGCTGGCTAGCCTAGCTACTTTTTGAGTTTCTGGCCACTGAGAGACATTCTCTTAAAAAGGGAGACGTGGATAGTGTTTAAAGGAGAACACCTGGCCTCAAAATGCATATGCACACATGTGTATACATACTTGGAAACACACAGAGGAAATGAAATTTATTCACAAATTTGTTTTTATCACATTGAAAACACTCTTATTATCCCTATACAGTTTTCATCTTAGACAATAATAGTTGACCTGAACATTCTAAACTGATTTTATGCCTTATTAATAAACTGTTAGTCACAATTTGGAAAAAAAAAAAAAAAAAAAAAAAAAAGCCAGGAAAAAACGTTCCTATCTCCCACCTGTTAAACTCTTCTACAATCTGGAGAAAGAAAAATGATGGAATGGGCCACTGTCCTGACAGATGACAGTCAAGAAGAAACAAACAATGTACAAAGCACATGAATGAAGACACATTGGGTCATATCTGGAGGAAGAGAATGGCAATTATCCAGCCAGTAAATTCTTGGAGTAATTTGAAGTATCTTAGGGAGGTAATATCTGAGAAGATTCTTCTAGAAGAGGGAGAAATTGGGACAGTGCATTCTTGGTAGAGGAAGACTTGATATCATGACAGAGGTGTGAATAACGACAGGGTCAAAGGGATGCCGTGCAATGCTACAAGGCCCCTAGGCAGGGTGGATGAGGTTGAGGCTGGACAGACAGAGATGTACATAGTAGGACATCAGATACCAGAATTAGGAATTTGAACTGTGCCAGGGAAAACAGGAAAGCAAAGGAAGGAGGGTAGGAGTGGTTGTTCATATGGTGATGGCACCCTTTGCTGGAACTCACAAAAGGTTAGTTAACATCTCTGCTTTCCCCTTCATGAGCATTCAGACTCTGTAATACCTGTATAAATGGACCCATCATCTCGGTCCTGACAGAACATGTGGAGTACAGTACATTCCAAGTACACGTTGTCTCACAGCTGTTCCATCTCTTCCCACCCTACCATCTTATCTTCTGGAGCCTTCTGAGCCATGGCTTCCAGAAGCACCATTCTGCCTCATTTAGGTGCACTCACCTTGGACTTCTGGGTAGAGGGCCATGAAAAGCAGAGCCCAGCGAAGTGTCGTCGATGTTGTCTCTGTTCCAGCAAAGAAGAGGTCCAGTGTGCTGCAGATGAGGTTTTCTTCATTGAAGCTTGTAGTGGTCTTGTCTGGGTACTAAAAAAAGTCAGCATGTACTTGTTTATTCGGAGGATTTAAAGTTCCCTCAACACACAGGGTATTGACACAGGGAAATGAATTTAGAAGGATTCATTTAAAGTAATGTTCTCTTTGACCTCATCATGAAGCATTTCCTCATCATGAAGCTAACCAAAAGCTTCTGCAACTTGGGTAGATGAAAATGTAGAGAATTATTTTTTATATTTTATTGTGACTACATTTTTGGAAAACATTTTTTGCACAGTGAGGAAATAATGGAATAAAAAGAAGGGTATTTGGTTTCTGGCATCAGCCACATCACTGTCATTGTAGATTTTCCAACTCTGTTGAAGTTTCCGTTCTTCAGTTTATAAAATGAGACTAGCATACACATTTTATCATGGCCTTATAAATCATGAGAGATGAAATAGGTGCATATCAAAAACTCTACAAATATTTTAAGTTGATGCCAGAAAGAATACAGTGAATCCTTTGTTCATTGATTCTCCTACCTCCCCATTAATCCTTTATAGTCAAAACTTCTAGTTCATTGATCATTCCTCATGACACAACTTTCCCTGGAAGCTTCAATTTGTTAATATTGCTCTTAATCTTGATGTTCTCACACCTATACTCCATGTGGCAAATAATTTGCCTCCTCCTCTGGAGACAAAACATTGCTTCTATCAGCATTGTGTGGGAAAGAAGAAATAAGAGAGAAGACAGAAAGGAATTTACCATTCTGCTTCCTGTCAGGGGATGAACCCATAAGTCAATGACTCAAAGCTCACATTCAGCGATGCATATGAATCAGAGGCCTACTGACATCAAAGCAGTATATTTAGTGGTATGATTTGAATCTGAAATGTTCCTTAAAGGTTCATTTTGAATTCTTGGTTCCTAGCTTCTGGCAATATTTTGGGGCTTCTAAAACATTGGGCAGTGGGACCTAGCTGTAGGAAGTAAGTCACTAGGAGCTGGACATTTGTGGTTTCTGCTGGTTTTGTCACAATGATACAAAAGTACAAATACATTCAGTTGGCTGTCTTCCAGCCTCCTGTGTATCACTGGAATGTGTGTATATGTGGTCAGGATAAGGCAGATGCCCTAGCCAACCCTTAAACTTTAACTCCAGAATTCAAGTGAACTTTGCTTATGTCGTGCAGCAGGGACTGAGATGGAGTGGGTAACTGGCCCTGGACCAGCACGTAACAACAGAAAGCTCAGAAATGTACCTCTACCTTCGCTTTGTATACAGCTCCTTTGCATATGGGTAAAGAGCAAGGGAGGGACATAAAAAGACAACATCTAGCGTTGGCAGAGCCTCAGGTCAAATGGCAGTGAACCCTTTATTTCTAATAACCCTAACAGCACTGAGTTAATGCTATTCTAGACCTCTCAGATATGCTCCCTTTGTTACTTCCCTGGGGTGTGTTAAATACTGATCCCCAGAGATGTCCATGAGCTGTCCTCTGAGAATATTGCTTACTATGCCAAAATAGACTTTGAAGATGTGATTAATTTCAAAATGGAAAACTATTCTGAAATACTCTTTTAAAATTTTTTAATTAGCTGAGTGTGGTGGTGCATGCCTTTAATCCCAGCACTTGAGAGGCAGAGGCAGGTAGATCTCTGTGAGTTCCAGGCCAGCTGGGGCTACAGGGAGACCCTGTCTCAAAAATACCAAAAAAATTGTTTTTTATTTTATGTGTATTGGTATTTCCCTGCATGTATGTATGTGCATCATGTTCATGCCTAGAGCCTGCTGAGGATAGATGAGGGCATCAGATCTAAGAAACTGGAATTACAGCTGGTTGTGAGCTGCCTTGTGTGTGCTAGGAACTGAACCCAGATCCTTTGTAAGAGCAATCTTGCTCTTAATCACTTAGTCATCTCTCTAGCCCCATATCCTGAATTATACTTATAAGAGGATGTTCAAATGTCACAGCCAAAGAGAGGAGATGCAAAGATAGAAACAGAGATAAGAGAAGAAAGAGATACTATACAGTTTTGGCTCTGAGATGGAGGAAGGAGCCATGGTAAAGGACAGGAGTGTTCTCTAGAATCGGGGAGTGGCAAAGTAATGAAGGCTCCATAGATCCCCAAAGAAGCTCTCCTGGCCAATAGGAATTCAGGAATCATCCAGAACTGTGCGAGAATGAATCTGTGCTGTGTTATATAACTAAGCTGGTGGAAATGTGCTTCAGGATCCGTTGGAAATTGTTAAACCACTATTTATTTTATAAGAAGAAGACACAGGCAACATCTTCCCACCTTTGTCATTTCCGTGAGGAAAGCGTCAATGAAGTCTCTCGGCTCATCGGGATTCCAGTCTCTCCTGTGTTCGTCAATCTTACCAGAAACAAACAGTTTCAGATTTTCCCAGTTCTCGAAAACTTTCTGATGTGGTCCAGGAAGATATCTCATTATCCACGGAAAAAGATTGTAGAGCTAATTGGGAAAAACAGTCATGGAGACATCATGTCGCAACTGTTACACATTTCAGGACAGTCTTGCCTTTCCCTCTTTGTTTCTTCATGGTGAAACTGTGGGATCACCTTTTCTCATGTTTTTCCTCTCACCACTCTCACAGGCGTTTTGATTCTGCCATGTAAGTAAGTTAGCACAAACTCATCCCTCTTAATTAAATTGAGGAAGAGGCTTTAATTACAAATGAGGATTGTTAAAAACAGGAACTGGTAAATACATGGGTAAATAGAAGCATGTTGATATATATAAAACAAGTAATTATATACTTTCCTGTTAAAATAGAAACAAAATAGAATGTGTAACCACCGTGAGCTAAAGAAGAACTCAGAACCGGGGTGCTAAGAGGATCTTACATGGTATAGGACAGGATAAGATATTAATCCTAGATGCTGGCCTCTTACGACTTATCAAATTTTAAAGTAAACACTAAAGTAATAGAAAAGCTAAGATCATATAATAAAACTCAAACCATGAGACAATCCAAATAATTATAAACCACAAAAATCATAAAATACTTTAATATCTTAAAATTTTTTACAATTGTATGTATGGGGGGGCAGTGTACACCTGAGTGCAGGTGACCATAGAGGCCAAAGGTGTCAGGGACCCCTAGAGCTGGAGTTACAGGCAGTTGTGAGCCACCTAACATAGCTGAAAGTTCTCTTCTTTGCTGAGTCATCTCTCCAGCCCCCTCATACCTTAATAATTTTAATAAAAGAAAGTAAATATTATGATAAAAATGATTGCAAAAATTGGTACAAAATTTATAGCTAATTGATGTTTAAAGGAAACATCTAAAACATACCTGTATGGAAAGTTAAAAATAAACTACAGAAAGTAACTTTCTAGAAGAAAACTAAAGGAAGGATGATGAGTGATATTCATATCAGATGAAACAATCTTCAGGGAAGAAAACATTAATAGCTATAAGGAACATGCCTGAATAGAAATTCAGAAATAGTTAGAAACAGAAGTAACATAAAACGTATATTGAACTATGCTGTTGTAAAAGAAAAAAGAAAGAAGAGGATGGTAAGAGGGTGCGCTAGGTGGCTACTCTGTGAAAGCCAGTAAAAGACATTCAGAACAGGAAAAACGGGCTTTAGTCCAAGAGGAGAAACAGTGGAAAAGCTGTGGCAATCCATGACAGAAGTGAGAGGATGCCGGAAGAGATGAGGAACAAATATGCCTTGACACGGTGAAGCAAGCAGAAGACGCTTCAGCCATGGAGATCCTTTCTAGAAGGGACTCAGAAGCCTCTTCCAAAGGATAAGCCAATAGAAAGCTGGGCAGTCCTACCTCAGGTCAAGCCCAGAACTCCCACAAAGGCAAGTGTTGGTCAGACAGTAATTCCACAGGTAGATGGGTCAGTGAAGGACTGAATCCCCATTTTGTCATGGCATGAGACTTAGAGGGCAGAGGCCAGGTGACATCTTGAGAGAGAATCTATTGATAAAAATGAGCTACTTTGGTGAACTGAAATCCTGAAGCATCTACAGGTCAGGGAATCCCAGCATGGTCAGCCAAAGCCTCTGAGTGACAGTAAGAGTGCCCAATACCAAGACAACATGTGGTAGGCAGTAAGAAGCTGGATCAGCTGGGAGGCATAAGGAGAGATACCTCACTCTAGGTAGCCAAGAATAGCATTTATCAACTGAGAATAACTCTGGAGTTTGGTACCTCTGAGGACAGTGGATTGATCAAATATTAGAGACATCTCTTTGTCTTTTACTATTCAGAAAGAGAACTCTGAAGTTCCACAGGTGTACAGGATACCCACAGAGCTACCCCCAAGCAGTGTGGTTAATAAGTAGAGGCCCTGAAAGTACAAAGGTAGATCCTCTGCCTGCACCAATTTCAGTGCTGTGGACAACCCTCGGCTAAAAGAACCACCCAAGGAGTAAGATCTGAGGAATCTTGGGAGGCTGAAAGGATGTGCTCACCAGACAGAATGCTATGTGTGTGCAGCAGGGTTCTTAGTATACAAGGAAGATGACTGCTTGACAATAACTCTGAAGGAGATCAGACATGGAACCATACAGACTCAGCAATAGCATAAACCCAAGGAAACGCAAAAGTTCCCACTTCAACTGCCTTCCTCCTCCGCATGCTACAAGCAGTCTTTCTTTGGAGGACCCAGAATAAAGCTGATGAAACATTAACATTTTTCTTTTTTCTTTTTCTATGTGATTCATTTTTTCCTATACATTTATTAGGATTTTTAATTTATTTGCATTTTTAAATTAATTAATTTAGCTTGTGTGTGTGTGTGTGTGTGTGTGTGTGTGTGTGTGTGTGTACCCATGGAAAAGTGATATGGCACATATGTGGAGGTCAGTAGACAACTTGAGGGACATGACTCTTTCCTTTCACCATGGGGTTCCAGGCATCAAACTCAGATGGTCGGACTTTGCAGAATCTAACTTTACACACTTCAAATTAACTTTTTAAAAGAGAGAGAAGATTCAAATTAATAAAATTAGAGATTAAAAGGGGGATATTCCAACAAACACAGGAAATTCAGATAACCCTAAGGACATACCTTAAAATTTTATATTCTGGGACTGGAGAGATGGCTCAGCAATTAAGAACATGGCTATTCATTCAGAAGACCCAGGTTTAAATTCCAGCACCCACATTGCAGCTAACAACCATCTATAACTCCAGTTCCAGGGGATCTGACATCTTTTTCTGACCTCTGTGGGCATTACATGACACAAGTGCACTTACACACATTCAGGCATAACACTCTTACACATAAAATTAAAAATAAATAAAATATTAAAAGAAAATCATATTCTACTAAACTGGAAAACTAAAATGAAGAAATTAATTTCTATATGTATATGACCTATCAAAGTTAAATCAATATGAATTAAATAGAAGTAGTAATTAAAAATCTCACAACTAAACCAGGCTTGGTGGCACACACCTTTAATCCCAGAACTCAGGAGTCTGTGACAGGCAGATATCTGTGAGATAGAGGCCAACCTGGTCTACAGAGTGGGTTCCAGGCCAGCTGAGGCTATAGGAAGACCCTGTCCAAAAAGACCAAAAAAAAAAATCCAAACTAAAATGTCCGGGACCAGATGGATTCAACACAGAAGTCTCTCAGACCTTCAAAGAAGAACTAACACCAATACTCAACAAATTATTGTGTAAAATAGGAAAAGCTAAAATCTTTTTACAAAGCTAGTATTACTCTGATGCCAAAACCAGACAAACCCCCCCACAAAAAATAGAATTATAAGTCAATCTCCTTGATGAACATAGATGCAAAAATTCTCAATAAAATATTTGCTAACTGAATTCTATATCACATAAAAAAGATGATGATGATCAAATTAGTTTTATCCCAGAGATGCAGGAATGAGTCAATATATGCAAATCAATAAATGTAACTCACAACATAAATGGATTCAAGGACAGAAATCACATGATCATCTTATTAGATGCAGAAAAGACCTTTCACAAAATCCAACATTTCATGGTAAAATCCCTGTAGAATATAGGATGTGGGGGACATATCTCAAAATAATAATGGCAGTATACAACATGCCCATAGCCAACATCATGCTAAATGGAGAAAAACTTGAAATATTTTCATTAAAATTAGGAACAAGACAAGAATAGCCATTCTCTTCATCCCTGTTCAACGTAGTCCTTGAAGTCTTAGCTAGAGCAGTAAGACAAGAGAAGATAAATAGGATACAAATAGGAAAGGAAGAAGTCAAAGTATTCTTATTTACAGATGACATGATTCTATACATAAAAGTCTCCCAGGCTGCCAGAGTGCAGGCTGTGCTGAGCCCAGGTCTGGGAGAACGCCAAGAAGCACCTACCGCTGGGAGGACAGCATAAGGTCCAAGATGGAAAATCATAAAGCAAGTACTGTCAAAGAAACCATACTTTTTGATATCATAACTAGAAAAATTAGCCAACTTCTAGAATCAGACAGGAATCTACTTGAACATGGTTCATTATATATTGGACTCAATGCTGATTTCAGTGGTCTAATAGCAAACAGTCTTTTTTTGGTGCACCTTGCATGTGACACAAGCTCGAATAGCTGCTAGCTTACCAACAGCAGTGCTCCCATTTTTGACAGCGAATGTGTCATACAGTACTTTTGTTAGCTTACCTTTGAGTGCAGGTGATTTGAATTGTGAAACCTGCACAGTGACATGGGCTGGACTAGCTGGTTTTGTTCTAGATGGTCTGTACCCCATTCTTTTGGCTATTCCTGTGAATGATGGCCTAGCAGTCAAGTATCAGACAACTCCTCTGCAGAGAGAGGAAACATCTTAAATTAATGGATTAGAGTTTCTAAGCCTGTTTTTAGAAAGATGTTATTTCCCATTGTACTTCAGGCTGTGTTGCAGCATACCTTGGGTCTAGAAAATATAAACTGTTTATAAATGCCCTTCAATTGCCTGAACCTGGCCTAGAAATCCCTTGATTTTAAGCAAGTATGTATAATAAAAATAACTTGTGAAAACAACTTGTCTCTAATGTTAAAAATACAGGCATAATTTTTCATAAGGTCGAACTTTGTAACCCAAAACGAAAGCCTACTGAGCAACAAAAGATGGAACTCCAAGGAAAACCACCCTTACCTAAGGGGCATGACTTCAAGGCTGGAATATAAATTAGTGGCAGAGAGATGGCTGAGACCCTAGATTCAATCCTTAACACAACAAATAAAAACTTGAAAGAAAAAAATGAAAACAAAGTCTCTTAGCACTCCACCAGAAATATCTTGAAGCTGATAAACACATTCAGAAAAATAGAAGGATACAAAGTTAACATGTAAAAGTGACTAGCTTTCCTATATACCAATGACAATTATACCAAGAAATAAATCATGGAAACAATTCCATTCACAATAGCCTAAAGGAATTAAAATGTCTTAGAATGAATCTAACTAAGAACATGAAATACTTTTACAATGAAAACTTTAA